CCCCTAAATTCCATTTTGAGTCGACGAGAAAGCACACGTAGCTCAACGAAACTATTATGTAGTAGTATTTGAGAATGTGAAAACCGTAAGTGATTTTTTTCTGTCAGCTGATCCAACTCGTTGACTATATTCAGCTCCATGAAGTCAGTTTCATAAAGGAATTAATTATTTCCTCAAATTTTTAGATCAATTGACTTTGGATATTATGATAATGCCAAGTCTATTTCAATCTAGTGTAGAATTTTTCATTGTTAAACCTCATCTGGACTTATGCATTTAGTTTTTGTGTATTTAAAGTAGTATAACTAAAAAATCAAATGTGACTGCAGTAAGGTATCTAAGAACCTTTGAGACTAATCGAATTTACCTTTAATAATTTACCCTTAGTACTAACAAATTCTCCCCATCGATCGAGCAATATACGCATGACTTTACCCAAAAATCAGAAATCTGGTAGTGCTTTAGGCTCGTTAATGCTTCCTCGATGAGGCTCCTCGAAATTCTTGGACATCCCAACAAGTATCAACCGGTGCGCCATCTTTGGCACACGCGCTATTGTTTAATAGTTAGCTATGATATATTCACTTACGGTACAAACAAAAAACATGAATTCCTTGACATTACTGTAGTATGAGATGCATGAATGCACGAGGTCACGTGTTGAATCGGTGGTTTAGTTGGTTCAGAATTCGATAAATTTACGGGGAGAAGTGTTGATGGGTGAAAAAGTAAAATGCGTCACAGAAAACACTGAAACTTTTCTTGCGAAGTAGTTGCGAAAAGTCAAATTGCGAGTTCGACCGTGGTACGATGGAGAAACACAGTGGTGCGAAGAGAAAAAATGCTAGAGAGAACATCGCGCGCAAGAGGTCGCAGACGACGTTCCACGATCGATTGGAAGGCAGCGGTTGCAGCGAAGGTAGCAGCTCTTTCTCGCGCTCTTTTTAGCCGCAGCAATACCACCACTCCCATGGTTGGAAGTTCTGCAGCCTCACTTGAGAGAGAATTTCTTTAACACATTCACGACGACGCCCCTTTTCCACTTTTCGGTCGCGTGGGACGGACGCGATTTTGTGGGCGCCGCCGCCTCACCACATAACCGCAGATTTTGTTAAATGAACAAAAACATGAATGTCACAAAATAATTTCTGCAATGTCCAATGCGTAAAGATTATCTAAACATATAACAGTAGGATTTCGATCAGAACGACGAAATAGTGGTTACGAAAAGAGAGCATTTATTCACTTTCCCCGTGAAGGAATTTAAAAGCATTTTACACTCGATTACGAGGTTTGCCCACCTATCTGTCCATTCCTAGCGCCTGGCAAGCGATTATCAGCTGGCAGCCCATATGGGCTGCCATCGGCTCGAATATGTTAAGGATCTTATCGCGACCCGTGCCTTTAGGAAACTAATTGAAATCAGTCAACTACAAGCATACTTACTGCGTTGTTAGCATGAACTGAAAAAGCAAGCTCACATGCTTCTATGCCTACTGCCTTCCTGCAATGCTTTAATCATTCAAAAAGTCTTCACTAGAAGTGTTGCTTTGTCAACAAAAACTCGTTGATGAAATGTGTTCATATATTCTAGACCTTGCACACCACCTAATGTGCTATCATTTTAGCGTGGTCGGCAACATCGATTACCTAATTCGGTTACTTGCAGGTGACAATGGACCGACCACGAATCGGATCGCTGCCATAAATTTTCAAGTGGCCATAGCTGAAGGGTAACACTCAAAATTTAATCAAGAAACCCGTATAATATTTTAAGTGAGATGTGGTGGCCAAAATGTTAAGCCCCATTCGTCAAGGAAAGCCATTTCCGGAAGTGAAACATTGACTGACCTTCACTTCGCGATAGGGTGATGAATAAAAGAAGAAACGGTATGAAATAATGAACTCAACCGTGTACATGAAAATCAAGAACACTTGATCATTGTAGCATTCTTGTACAGCTTGAGCCGTTGAACTGGCCGACAACGGTTGTGACACGTTTTCGCCTTCATTCTCGACTTCTTTCATCAACTCCATTATCGTCTTAGTAGCATTCGTAAAACTAGAAGAGAAACATTTAAGAAATGATAATCAAAGCAAATTCGTATCGCTAGTGCAACACATGAGATAGAAGTATGTATGTACACTCAAAACGATGATTCTGGTTGTGTCAAACATTTTCCCATCTTTCCGCTACTACTATTATATTTCCATATTTAGAGAAGTATTTTCTTAATACATCTTCATACCAGAGAATGAATCTAAAAATGAGCCGTGTTGAGAGTGCTGAGTTATAGCCAAATCCCGTTACCTCAACCTTGAATCCAACAGACATGGCTGATGCCAGACTTTGTTAGTCGAGCGATTTGTGAGCGCCCGCGGTCGCGTCATGGCCAGCGAATAACTCGACTGGCGCACGCTAGCGAATCGCTCGATTCGCGAAGTCTGACATCGGGCTTAGCGGAAGCTCTTACTCGGAAGGTTTTTTCAGGATACAGAATGCTACTTCAAAATGGCTCTCTGCAATTTATAGGAATTCACGTTGACTACAAAACTGGGATCCACTTTTGCTGAACGGCCCCGTGAAAGCCAAAAAGTGGCGAAGAAATGGTCTAAGATCTGATTTTCCGAGGTGGCAAAATTTTTGTATTCCAGGTAGAAACTCCCATATTTTCTCCAAGTAGCACGAACACCAATAGTGGGTGCCATATTAATTATCAAAAACAAGCACTCGCTAAAATTTTTATAGAACCCTTGAACCCTTGAACCACCCTTCGAGCTAATTTTTTCGATCCTTATTGGGCCGGCATTAGGCCGTTCAACGATGAGCCTCAGTTCTGTAGTTCTCGTCAGAACCCCTGCAGCATGCAGAAAACAGTTTTCAAAAGCGCTGCACACCCTGAAGAACTTCCTTCTTGTTAGACCTGAACGGCCTCAGCGTTGCGCCCTAACATTGAAATCGTAACTATCTCCGACTGCGACCAAAATTAAACAGCACTCACGAAAAAATTACAATTGAAAATAAAAGAACGTTGAATCTATGTGTCTATTTTCATTTTCGACAGTTATAGCTGAAACGCAAAGTTGTCTAGGAAAACTGTTGCTCAAAAAGTAACGCTCCATTTCGACATCTTTTCTCCGGACTTGGAAACCCAGAAGCGTCTTCAGGTATCCCTGTTTGTGTAGAGCACAGAAAATTTTCAGTTCAAATTGAAAGAATTACACCCATCTACCCCATGTATACGTTAGAATGGAACAGTTAAGTCATTCTCTACCTAAATCCTCAATACAGCAAACCTTGGTCTTTGGGAACTGGGTCTTCACAAGCGTTTCGATAGGTTACACAGAGCGATCAACTCACTCGCATCTCTGGCATCCAAATCCTCATTACCCTTGGAGTAAGTAGGAAGTTATACAGAACTATTTGCGAAACCGGAGGAATCCCTGAATTGTATTAGAATTCCATAAGGCTTCGGAGGAGATTTGAGGAACCCCTGAACGCAGATCTGAGCCAGCCCTCTCTTTGGACCGCCTGTAAGTTCAAAATAACACCACTAAAGAGAATTATATGAAAGGTGCTTGACCCTTGGTCCCAAGCACTTTGAAGCCGAATTTCTCTCCCTGGTCAGTGATCGAAGTTCCTTCACTGCATAAATACGTGCAATCGTTCTCGCTAAAAGGCATAAAAATACCGCACAATGAGAATCGTTTTGAAGTGGCTTGAATGACTAGCAGGCTTCGACTAGTATGTAGAGACGTGTTCTTACTATTACAGATCACCATACTGCTACTTTTATGAAGAAGGTGAATTGGCTAAACGTGTGGGCGAGGATCCGGAGCTGACCGGGGGTACATTTTTGCCAGCTCGTGAAGAAACTCGCCCACTAATTGGGCGTTGTAGGAACCCCACAGATATGCACTGCAATCCATTTCCTTCAAAACTGATAGGATGCTTTACTTCTATTCGAGAAGATCGACCTTAACTTTAAGGAAGGAGACAAAATGCTCTGAACACCTCATAGCCTCGCCCCTTGTATTTCTTAAGCCGCATAATGGACCTAAAATACACGAAGCGTTTTTTTTTGGTTATTTGAGCCTCTGAGACTTCTTCATAAGTATTCGGAATAGGAGCAGCTGGGAAAGCGATCTTCCAAGATCCTTTGGCGAGATTCTCACAATACAACAGTATGCTGTTTTGTCTTCGATTTCATGCTCACTGAGGAAGCGAATTCACTGTCTTTTCAGAACTTTTTGAGAGGATCCATCTTCAAAAGCTTCCTGTAGAAGTCTTTCATCCAACGGGTTAAATTGCCAGAAAAGAAATACCCTCGAACTTTCGCTATGTCTCTGATTTGGGAGCATGCAATGAGCGGACAGTTCAGAAAGTTAATCTGCAAAAATAAGCTGAAACGATCTTCGAAAAATCGTAGTCTAAAAGAATATCTGCTTCTGCTTCTGACTACAAAAATCAGCTTTCGAAAGACACAGCACAATTTATCCCCTCCCCTCCCCCACCCCCTGCTCCCAAAAAAGGGAAAGCAAAATTATATTTGGACCATATTTGCAACCATGTGAGAGTACTCTGTTACACATCAATACGGAGCTCCTATTCACGTAAACATAAGCCTTGTGCAACAGCACACAAAAACTAGGTGAAAGTGGAAGCCGGAGAAGCATTTTCAATTCTCAACAGGATAGAACTCACTCGCGGAAGACCATATGAATCCTTATGGAAATGATGAATGGGAGAACTTTAGGACGGCAGTTCATAGCCGCTTAAACCCCTATTGGGTTTTGAAAACTGAACATCGTCTTATCAAAGTATTTTATACCAATTAAGTTTCCAGAGTTCATGCAGAACATTTTTTTCTTCATTGGATTCAGCAATCTTAAAACTGGGCTGATGAACACAATGAAATCGAAAAATGTTACTTGGATTCGGAAGAGTCGAGAAGATTTCGGAAATGTGCCTCGAGCTCAAAACGGTACAGTTTTGCTCTTTCCAATAAGAAAACGAAAATTCCGGCACCGTATATCTATGCATCTTTTGCCCCTGATCAGATTTCACGTAGAATTGCAGAATTGCAAGATTACGGTAATAGCAATGGTACGTTAGCGGAAGGATATTCTAAGTGTGATTATATTCAGGAATTAAGCTAAAAGCTGGCTTTAATTCAACATATGTGAACATGGCGAGATCATGAAAGAAGAGCGTGGCTGGCGAGAAATCGCACGCCGACGACGACGAAAATCGTTGGTGGCTGTGATAACTTGGCTGCAATTATGCATTCACGACACCATGATATCAGCTAATTTACTGTCACACATCATCAAATAATCAGCCCAATGAGACGCTCTTCTACTGGATTGACTGCAGTCTGTTTTCTGACTTTACAATTTGTCTGGGGCTCAAAATTCAACGAGAAAACCACTTTTAAATCCATAGATTTTGATTAAAACGAATAGAAATATGCAGCAGTTGCTGGGTCAAAGGCTGCTTCTAAATAAAGGTTCAGGAGAAATTGGCGCCTGAAGGGTCAACAAAACTCGTGGTATTACAATGTAAATAGCGCACCCGCCTTTGTACTTGTCTCTTTAGTTAACTTGTAACGACAAGGTGATCCACGCATGCAAAAACTGGGGGGACTAAAGATGAATTTTCATTGACACCATACGACGTGGGTTACGTAACCTAAAATTTTCGATGTTTTTTGGGGAGTTCCTGAAGCAGATGCTGCTAATCAATAGTCAAACCAAATGCAAATAGCGTAATTATTAAGTACACCAAAGCTAATCTCAAAATAGTAAAGAACTCTGAAGAACGAAAGAGTAGGGTCGAAGTGATGATTGGCGCCATATGCAGTGAATCGAGTTGTACCGTGAAGTAGTGAATTAACGATCTTCAGCTGAACAGAGGGACTTCCGGTTGACAGCAAAGACAGTCCCCAAATACACGATGACAGACGATAATTCGATTACGCGTATAAAAGAAATTGACGGATGCGTGGCGGGTTTCGCACGCTCACTCATTTGTGTTCATATATAACACTAAAGCTGTAATTATTGTCTATCAGTACTGCAGTAATCCATACTTATTTTCAGCGGATCCAAAAAATCTGTTCTCCACTGTGAATCATTGAATTCACCCTAAAACAAAAATTGAAGTGGAAACACTCGAGGATATTGGAAGCAACCACCAGTTTTTCCTACTTAAAGCAACAGTCCCAGCAGGGTCTGCTTCTTTCAATAACTAATGGCACTAAAGTATACGCCCTATTGGAAAACATCTAAGTGAAGTTATAAAGAAAACTCACCTGGGAAAAGCCCAAAAAGGGCGTTAAATCCTCAAAGATGGGTGTGGTTGGAAATTTCTTCGGGACCGCCCACTTGCCAGCCGTGATTGGCTGGTTACGGGGCAGCGGTCAACCAACGCGTGAGAGTCCAGACAGAAAAGCACATACTTTCTGCTCCCTAGGACTAAGCCTTTTGAAGGAAGGAAAGAAAGCAGAGATGCTGTAATAGTGTGCATATGCGAGAGTGCCCAGAGAACACTACAAAACGCTGAATCACCAAGCCTTTCGGTTGACCGCTGCCCTTGTACGTGATTGGCTACGGAGGCATTGGTGCTCGTTTCGGGACCACAGGGGTATTTGAACTCTGTCCTTTAAAGTAATCAATCTGATCCTGCCGGTTGCAGTGGAATTGCTTCTTTTTTGTGTTGTTCTAATGTTGTTATGTTATGTAATGTTGTAATCTGTTGTAATGGCTACCAAGTCAGTCAGTTATTAGCGGAATCAAGGCTTCCCCAGCTAAATGGAAGGGTCGAATTGCAGTAGTTTGAGGGGTGATCGAACTGTTAGTGAATGAGCTAGAGATTGCACTCCAATTGCAAGAGTTGGCAAATAGCCAACTATTATGGCTATTTGCCAGCAATTGCAATTGGAGCGCAGGTTCGGACAACTCGTCCAGCACGCGTCTTCTCTCATCGCTAAGGGCAGAGGGTGAGTTCCTGTTCAAAGCCTTATTCCGCGTTTTTCTTTGGTTTTTTCATTACTGTCGGTCAAATTGTGGGCTATAACTACATTATCAACGGTTTACCTCGTAAATTCGTCCTGGAACTGTTGCTTTAAAAACACTTTGACAGCGACATCAGTGCGATGTCGTATAACTTCGTATAATGTATCCAAGACCAATCCCTAGCTCAGGCTAACAGCTTCTCAATCCGGCTGGTAAGGTTGTAGGTTATTCATGTGAACGCAACGGCTGACCTTGGTCAATGGCACATTCAAATGCCTCGCAAATTTTGACTGGGAATTGTAAATATAGTGAGGAAGGTGCCGTGTGGGGATGAAGTAACATTGCTTTCCAAAGCTTTCATAGAATAGTACTTCGAAGTGGATGTTCAGGAACTATATTTATTTCAGAATATCCATTTCGAATAGGCGTGGAAGTGGTGCAATGAAAGATGTCCAAAAACCACGCACATGGAACGAGAATCATTTCTCGCGAGCGCTAGCCCCATTCCGGATCCTTTTCGGGAACAGGCTTATCCGGCAGGATAAAACAAAAATCGGAATGCACATTAGTGCAGTTACACTTGTATAGCAAATATAAATTCCCATTGCAGTCCTTAATGAAGTGGAAAATCGGCTACCACACAGCAAAGACTTATAATTGCCAAGCTTCAATGTTCATCCCTTATCTGCCAATCCCGTTCCGTTTACCAATTCCCCAGGCTACTTTTAAAGAATTTTTGGTTCAGAAAAGTATGGGCATACCCACGATATAGCTCTGGAGCCGAAAAGAGGCCGTGAGATATTGAGCCTTCGCGCTAATGCTTCAATTTACTCGAATCAGGCTCATCGTGTTGTAAATGTCTATCTCCGTGTCTGATGTTGTGACCTAAAGCGGACCTCCAGAACAGAGTCAACCCTGCGTTGCGCAGTTCTCAACGGCCACGTTGCGCAGTTTCGCCCGATTAGACACGTTCTCTCGCGCGAACATTCACACTCGCATGCTCGAGCCGTCTGCGTCTCCGCCCATACAGCGTGCGTTGAGGATCTCTCAACGTGCCGTTGCGAACTGCGCAACGCAGGGTTGACTCTGCTCCAGAATGGGAAACTGGAGATCATGCTTCCCGATCGAAGAGTCTGCAGCCGTTTGAATCTATTTTACCAGAACGAGAAATTCAGTAATGTTTATGACGCCACAACCGACACAGGAGTTCAAACCTGCCAACCTTACTACATAATATTCTAAAGACCACCTAACAATTAATTCGATAAGTGATATACCAACGTTTTCGTTTCGCTTAACTGGGTAACCTTATCCTACGTACCTCAACTTACATAAATCGTCATTCATCGTTTGTAGATATCGTTCACAACGGCATGTTGTGCTGTTGAGGCTCAAGCGCTTAAAAACGCAATCCTAAAATAAGCTCATAGATATCAACTCCAGCTCAGAAAGTAAAGAATGGCACCATGAGCTACCAGTACTGTCCTCGCGCAGATCATGTGAGGAAAACAACAACCTCCGGGGCAGAGTCAACCCTGCGTTGCGCAGTTCTCAACGACCACGTTGCGCAGTTTCGCCCGATTAGACACGTTCTCTCGTGCGAACATTCACACTCGCATGCTCGAGCCGTCTGCGTCTCCGCCATACAGCGCGCGTTGAGGATCTCTCGAAGTGCCGTGCTAAACCTGCGCAACCAGGGTGGACTCTGCTGGAAGGTCAGGCCTAGCACACAGGGACCACCCAGCCATGCAGGGAGCGCCACAATCGACGCTCGTGCCATATAGCTCTATTTATCTCGGTCTTTCTTGTTCTCTACTATCAGTAATCAGTCCCATCCCTTTGGATGAAATGTCAATACAAGCTTGAAGCGTGCCCTCGAAAGCCGCAGAAAACTTCTTCTATTGCAAAATTTCGAAGCTGATTAGTCGCTAGCAAGTAATGTCTCACTGACAGAGCTTCCTAGAAAATTCGAATAAAGGCAATTCGTCGTTGGCATAATCACAAGACGTTGCCAATCAGCGAAAACCGCTTGTTAATGCCCACGTTGTTCACACAGCTGCATATTTTGACTCTTCAACACATAGAAACTAGATTATTCACAAAATCTCAATTTTAACAATCTCAAAGCCCTGTGGAAGTGTCGGTTCACTAAAAACTAACAACATCGCAGCACGCCTCATCACAAGTATACTGTAGTCAAGGCTGCTGTATTGGAAATGTTTTATCAAAGAATGTGTTATAGCAGCGAAAATTGAGCTCTTCAGTCGTAGAATAGGACACAAAGTTTACCGTTATATCACATACTCTTCCGGCGAATGCACCCTGTTACGGATGCGTGGACGGATCCATAATTTTATTCTCTAACCTCCACTACGTTGAAGACATGTGATCACATTGCCAAGCGGTGAAGACGAAGTATATACTCGAAATCACTGGGGGAATAGGAGGCGCACATTGTCGTTCGCTTGCTGCCTACGCTTTGCCAGATTTCAGCACACTCACAACCTTGCGATTGGGAGCACTCACCAGGCATACTCTACTTTAATGCGAATTTCACGGTGAAAAGACTAGCTCACTAATCATGTAAGAGTGTCAGTGAACAGAGATGAAGAAAAAAACAGAAAACGCCCTAGTACCGAATGGCCCCGTCATTGACTTACGCGTTAGGCGTGTCTACTCTACGATAACCTCAGAACGCTAACGCTCTCTCTTCTCTCTTCTCTCTCTCTCCCTCTCTCTCTCTCCCTGCTAGAGCGGCTTGAGTTAGAAGGCGAGGGGTGGCGACCGCGGTATGGTCCTGCTATGCCGCTGGAGACAAGTTCCTTGCTGCGACCGGCATCGTCTTGCAGGGGCTCGTCTGCCTTTTCAGTAGGAAACCAATCATCGACCTCCAACCTTATCGTGGATTACTCCTTTAGGTGATGTACTATATGGGGTCAAAAAATCATGATCATGTGAGGCTCACCAGACTAGAGATTTTCTCACCGAAAAAAAGCAATTCTTTCAGTTTTAGTGGCTTTATACTGTGCTTTAGGGTCTATATACCTCAAGGAGGAACGCTCCCAAGCCCTTCCCCATTTTTTTATTGTTTGAGTATGCTGGAAGCTTTAATTGAGGAACAAATCAAAAAGTACAACGCCGATCCACAATAAAAATTTGGGTACTCACTACCAGCTGCTTGCCATATATTCCTTACCGTCTCAGCAGACTCTTCCCTAGCTCTTGCTTGAGCCGAGCCGGCTCTGCCACGCATGAAAGACCTATGTACGAAATGGCGTGACGAAATGACGCAAAAGATTTCTCTTCCAACTGCGCAGGTAGACATAGCTGTGAAAAAGGGGATTCTGAGCACGTGGCGTCTTAGGAAGAGGCTGAAAACTTCACCATTCACCACTCCGCTCGCAGCATTTGCGGTGCCAGAAAGTCAGAGGTGCAGCCAGTGAACGCGAATTCTTCGAATGGCTGGTTTTGGTACCAGTCTCAGTGTCATTACTTGTCCCTCTAGGAGCTACTATCAACAGCCATGTTCTTGTCTAGAAAGTCCTTTCAGAAATACAAATCATGACATTTACTCTGGCATATGGTCATTTGTTTCCCGTGGGGTAGGCCCTAGACTCAAAGGTTCATTGAGCGGTTAGGTCGCTCGAGTCTCCTCTCGTGAATGAGGTAGCTGCTATAGAAACCACTCAAGAAGTGTTCACGGTAAAGAAGTTTAGCACGACATCAAGGGCTCAACATTTGCACAGATTACATGTATTATTACATGCCCACCGTGGGCGATAGCACTGGTTTCCTCACCTCCCACGTTATCTAGTCTCTGAATCTATCCGATCGCCTCGGCGCCGACCATGACGGTCTCGTAGACAGTATGCCTAGCTTAGCGCCGTAGCTCACCACCCAAGAAGAAAATCCTTCGTCGCAGTGTTATTAATAACA